CTGGCCTCTCCTGTCATCCCCCTCCACACTCCCTCCTCCCTTCCTCACCGCCCCCGTCACCCTCCCTAAACAAGTCAAGTGTAAAGAGTGTGTTTGGCTCTTGGACGCAGGAGAGACGAGTCATGAGAGGAGGACGAGCGTGTGGAGGACAAACGGTAACGAGGAGCTTCTTCATGTCGCTTTTGCGTCCGCTTGGGTCGATTTGTCGCGTGGTCGTGAGTGACAGCGGCTGTCGACGTGTGTTGGTTGTGTAGAGGAGGGCTTCCTTTACCGTACAGTGTGAGCAATGAGTTCTTGTTCAAGTAACGCTTGAGCTGCGTGGGATTGTCGTGGAGTTATGTTGGGCATTTTTTTAAAAATTGAATGACAGTTCCCTTCTCAAGAATGTCAATCATAACTGTCATAACTTTCAAGAGAGCACAGACCTTTTTCAAAACGACAACAAAAAAGTGGTCGGGCAGTTTTTCTGTCAGTATGTTAGCAGGGCACTTCCACTTTCTATAGTGTGAGGATGATCGCTACTTTTTTGGGGGTGTAATGCATGAAATTGTTGGAGATGACATCAGAATACCATTTTTTTTTTCTTAAAAAAATAATTTCGGATTGGAGGGACTCGTTTAACTGTGACTCAAACGGCAAAATGATCAAATGAAAATCCTCCCAAAAAAGTGTGAAAATTTGTGGAGTGCTTTCGTTTCTATATGTTAGCAGGTCACTTTCTGCTCCATGGAAGACCGCAGCATTTTTTTATCGTATGTTTTTTACTCTGGGACGTGAAATTATTCCAACTTGACTTGCTTATGAATATGGGCACAACTAATTTTAATCATGAAAAAAAAAAACAGTTTGCAGGTTGATTTCTGGTTCAAGGTGCGATATCCCACTTGGAGAAGAGTTTTAAAATTTTGTGACGACACAATATGGACTTTGAAGATGATGTTTATTCGTCTGTTAGCGATAAAGACTTGATGATTTATTGAGGATGTTAACAAGATAAGAAAACCTTAATTTGTCTCACAATGGAGAAATTCCCAATTTACAGCAGCAAAATTATGAATAATGAATAAGACATTGGGACTACATTTTTTTCTTTTATTGGGATGAGGAGCTGGTTGATAGTGACTTTCTAACAAAAAGAAAAAAATTAAAACTCATCGCTTCATGGAAATTGTCTTCAGTAGGAATTCTGGATTTGGACCATTTAAGAAAAAAAGCCATTAAAATTTGGTGCAAGGTGAGGTGTTTCATTGATCAAAATATGAGGTTTTCCTGTTTGATCGAGGATGATGTTAGACAGAAGGACTGGACCATTTTTTAATTTTGGGGTGGCCTGAACCGTGCTGTTGTCACTGAAATTGCAAAACGCTGGGTAGTTGTGCATCTTAGCAGGTCACTTCCTGGTTTACGGACAATGGCGTAAGATGACCAGACCGCACCATTTCTAACTCTGGAAAAAGGGGGCAATGGTTCCTTCATGAGTTAAGAAACGAAACAAAAAAAGAAGATTGCATTCCTGAAAAACAAACCGAGATGCAAACATTTTGCATTGCGCTATCTGCTCGAGAATAAAGTCCATTTGCAATGATGGACTCTACCATTTGGAAGTGATTGGGATGTTGGTGGGGTGTTTCGACCGTGACACCATTGAGGATCTAAATTCACCAAACCGCATGATTTATTTATTTTTCAAGTTGTGTTTGTTCTTACGTTTGATCATAATACGATAGCAATAGGCGAGACCGTACCATTTGCACGGTGGGGGGACACAGAAGAATGCTTCCAATGTGACTCAAGCCGCCCGAAATAAATTCCTCTATCTGGATGAAGCCGTTTCACGTTTTCTTCCTCGGAACATGTGCCAGCCCCTCCGCGGCGTTTCTAGGAAATCGGTTGTGAAGTTCTTGTGTAATCTCGACAAATAAACAACTAACGCGCTCGGGTGGAAGTCACAGATATAAGGGTTCGTAAATAAGTGATATTGTCGTGAAAGCGGCCTCGAGTGAAAATTAAAAATTAAAAAAATAAAACGCACAGACACACACACACATACTCATACGCTAGCACATTGGAAAACATGTGACATCAGACCTCATAAGAGCATTTCTCCCTCGGCCGCGCTTTTCTCTGAAGAGCATAAAGTCACTTTTTCCCCCCGCTCATGCTGGAGCTTGATATAATTGAGGTGGACTGGGAAAACTTACTTAAGTTTAATGGAAAACAAGAGCCATTAGAATAACACTCGTAGTTCCACATGCATACACTGCCTGTGTGTGTGTGTGTGTGTGTGTGTGTGTGTGTGTGTGTGTGTGTGTGTGTGTGTGTGTGTGCGCACATTGGGATTTTTGACATACACACACTGTGACCCCTTCTCTTTTTTTTTTTTTTTTCTTTTCAAATGCAGAAGTCACGTGCACGTTTTGCTCACTTTCCCAGTAGTTACGCTGCTCGTGGACCCTCATGAAGTTTCCGTCCCAAAATACATCTTCTGTTCAATTTTCACTCTTTATTTGCGTGGCCTGCAGACCCCCGGCGGCTAAAAACAACCATGATGAAATGCTCCGTATTCTACGAAGAGGCCCTGAAAGTAACTACTTAGCGAGAGGAAGCCAGGTTGCATAATGAAAGCGGGCGAATGACGAAGACTCGCCCCGGCGCTCAACTCGCCCAGATATTTGCGGCGAAGGAATAACGGATAGTATCGAAAAGCAGCGTGAGCGGTTGGTGGACGCTTGAGAGTTAACATTCTTAATATTGACTATAGGTTTGGTGGAAAATGAAGATAAAAGGCACACCTAAAGTCAAATTTAATTGAACCGCGGTGCCCCGAAACACAATTAACATGAAGAAACCAGTTCGGGTAATTATGAATAGGTAACCAGAGGTGCGTTGTGACATTTAAGCCAGCGGTTGTGTTTTTATCCTCTTGCGGTGTCAATGTTTGCACCGAGAAGCGCGCCGGTTCATACAGACAAAAGAGTCCATGTTTTGTCTTCAGTTTCATGTCTTGAATCAACAACAACAACAACTTGCGATTTCTTGTTTTTCCGAGTGTGCTTAAGGGATACCACGTGATGAGGGCAAATTAGCCGTGATGCATCTTCATGTATTTGAGCGCGTCCGGAACAGGAAATGTCATGCGGGCTCCTCCGAAAACCCCCCTCGTTGTACCTTACTTTAATTCATCTGAAATTGCACTCTTTCCATTGACGTGCATTTGAAGACAAAGGGAAAAAAAAAAATCCTCGGGTATGGATTGCAATTGTCATTTTAATGAGTCTGGTCAGGTCGTCTGGGGGCATCCCCTTTTTCAGAAGCGGTTGGAAATGTCGTACAAAACGTATATTTCAGCGTAATTATAACAAGGTGCGGCAGGATACATTGTGAAGGAATAGTATAGCGGATGTTTAGTTTACACATTTCATGTTGTTATGAAAGAATTTCCTTTATTTCACTTTGAACTCAATCTCATCGTTTAATGATTGAGTCCCTGAAGTTTATTGTCTCAAAGTTTTTACCAATTGGTTTCATAAAAACAAAAAGAGTAACCAGGATTGGTCTTGACAATGCAGGCTCCAACATTTAAACCTTTTGGAGTGGTGAGCCAAGTTGTGGCTGCCACCCCGGTGTATTCGTGGTGTAATACGTAAAGTTTCAATGATTATTTCATATTGATTTTATTTTTAATATGCCATTTAATCCTGAAAGAGTAAACCGTTCCTGAGTACTTTGTGTCATGTGTATATTGGACTAAATTATGACTTCCTGGCTATGGCTGTGTACTCGCCTCACTCAAACCAAAGCATTGCAATTTCACAAATTAACATTGATGCTTCAAAGAACAAATCAATTATAAAGTTATTAAAATGTTTACCGACAATTTGTCTGTCCCGGCAGTGCAGTGTGTTGTCAGACGCCACGTAGTGGCCAGGTTTTGCAGAATGAAGCATTTCAGTTTCAGTGTTGCTATTTCATTGGTGCTTTTATTCCATTTGAAGGCAGACTTGTACATAATATTGCAAATTTGCAAGTCACCATGCTAACTCATAGCTGCCGGTCTCCATTTTAATGAAATATTAACACACACTGACCGTATTCCGTATTCTGACAAGTGTTACGACATGAACGACATGGCGCCGTAACGTGTGGTAGTGTGTTGGTGCGAGTGGTCTCCTACAACATCTCCTTCTATGATGAATAAAATACTAGTTAGCGCAGTTTTGTTCTGTGTATTACTTGACGGAATAATCGAGCAACAAACCTTATTTTTGTGTCGCCGCACTTGTTTCTCGCTGCCATTTTGTGTTCCCACTGCCAGTGATGGCGAGTGGGCTAACCCAAGCTAGCGACATCGTGCCTAGCCCATTTTGCGTCACCGCATTTGTTCCTCGCTGCCATTTTGTGTTCCCAATGCCAGTGATGGCGAGCAGGCTAACCCAAGCTAGCGACATCGGGCCTAGCCCATTTTGTGTCACCACATTTGTTCCTCGCTGCCATTCTGTGTTCCCACTGCTAGTGATGGTGAGCGGGCTAGCCCAAGCTAGCGACATCGGGCCAACCACAAAAGTGTATCCCGGTGGTGGTTTTTCCTTACATCATCACAACATCCTGTTTTGATGATTAAATGTTATTTGTTCAAAAGTGAAAATGTGCTTTTGGAAGCCCAAAAGTGGCCCGGCATGCTTAAAAGGAATAAACTTAGCAGTGCGTAGTGGCTAGGGTTCAAAACAGCCTCGGCAACTTGGATATATATTGTATTTTATCGGTTGTTTAATTTAAAATCAGTCAAAGTACTGGTTTCGAAGGAAACTGATTCATTTTGTTCTTCTTTTTTTTTTCTTTACTATAATTACTCGTCAGCACAAGTTCTGCCTTGACAAAGATAATAAAGCATAGCTTTTAAGGGAGCTGTTTAAATAATTTGTCACCATCCATTGAGATTCTTCGTTGTTTAAAACAAACAAACAAACAAACAAACAAAAAAAAAAGGACTGCAGATAAAAATGTACCTTTTTGTTTTGGTCTGTCACTCAACACTCAGCATGGTCAGCTAATATATGGTGTCCATTTTGCTGTGCGTAATTGTATGCGCAACAGCAACAAAGAGTTAAAAACAGCCAGCAAGAACGAATCTTTTGTTTGCCTAAAATTGCTCTCACCAATTTCCGCCCCCACACCTCCCACCCCTCATGACTTTCGACACTATACGGCACGCCCTGTCACTGCCGTACTATGCATGATAATATTTCACCGAAACATAAATATGTAAGCTACAATTTAATCAACTTCCTTCCTCAGTCAAGCACATGAAAAGGCTTTGGGGTAAAAAATAAGGCAGGTTGATGTCATTTGGTTTCTGGTTTTGGCTGTTTTGTGCTTTTTAGAGCGAAGCATCAGTTTCCATGTTTGAAGTCTTGTATTGCACCTTTCAAAATGTTTGTGTTTTGGCGTCAAATGACTCATGGCGCCAATATGTGAGTTTTGGCGCTTTGACTTTGCCCAGACTTTTTTTGGAGGGGATTGTTAAACTGTCAAGTGTTGTTCTTTGTTTGGAAGTTTTGCTTCCAGACTAACCTGTTGAGATATAATTGATTATTGATTTGACTGAAGAGCCATGGTTCTGCCAAGGCCGGATACGGCCTGTCGAACTTGTTCCGAATACGTTGGCGAGCAGCTGACATTTATCGGAATACGATTGGATGTTTTAGTAATCGGGGGCACGTAGGCGGCCGTCTATCTACCCGCGGGTGGGGGGGGAGGGGTGTCTCAGTCACTTTTGATCGCAGCAGGCCAAACGAGCAAGCCGACGTACGTGCTGAACAGGATGAACGCTTGAACATGACACTTAGAAAGAGAGGAGAACTTTCAAGTTGCTCATCTGAGGCGAGGAGGAGGAAGTAGGAACAAGTGCTTTGAAAGCAGAGCCAAAAAGATGGATGCCATGAGATGCTTACCGCCGAGGCCCTTAAAGACAGGAAAGGTAGGAGTTTAGGTTCCTTTTTTTGTTTGTTTGTTTTAACACGATCTCAGTACATGTGGACTAACAAGGGGCCCCCAGGTGCAGAATATTGTGGGGAGCTTGATTTCAAAAAGGTAAAAAAAAACCAAAAACAAACCAAAACTGTATATAGGGTCTATCAAGGTTCACATTTTTGTGGGAAAAGGTAATTGCAGCTTTTTTTTTTTTTTTTTTTTTTTTTTTTTAAATCATACTTGTAGTGCAGATTATTCGCTATATTGCCGGATTTTGCCGTAATGATTTTCCTACACGGACCGTTAATGCAGACTCAAGCAGAAGTAAGCGCGAGCCGGAAGGAAATTGCGTAAAAGACCAAAAATGTCCAAAGTTTGGGATCATTTCACATTTCAAAAAAAAAAAAAAAAGGAGCCAAACTGCAGCGTTCCTCTTGCAAAGTACAACTGGCTTCAGTTGTAAAATGTCTACCTTGATGGACACATTTAATTTAATATAACCTACTGCCACTTGTTCGAATGAATAGTGAATCCATAGCAGGCGGTCAGCATAGAGGAGAGATGGACACAGCCGCTCGCTGGTGCTCTTTTGATCGCTAATAAAATACAGGCGACACAAACGCACTCTTAGACGACCTGCGGAGAACCTCAACACGACATCCTCATTCACTCACTTCCACGTCACTCAACAGGCCAGGCCCACCTTTGACCTTTGAAAGGCACACAAACGTTCGACGTCACAGATACTACAATGATGAAGGTGAGGAGGGTGACCCAAGTGGACAAAACCTGTACTTCACATTCTGGTATTTTATGCATGAAGCTTTAAAAAAATATATACAGTATATGTATATATGTGTATATATGTTTTATTTTAATA